GTAAAATGAAATAATTACTGAATTCTGCACAATTTTAAAAATAGTACAAATTCTTAGATAAAGAACAATTTGGTAGATTAACTATTAAATTTTAGAAATCATTATTATATAATAAAATGATACAAATAAGTAAAGAATCAAAATGAATGGATAGATGGGTAGAATAATAAAGAAGGTTAATATTATATAAAATTAATGAATCTTAGTGGAAATAGAGCTTGATCTGCAGTAAAAAGTGTTGCTATGCCAAATGGGTATAATAAATTCGATATATTTGATATTTATTCTTTTTATTCAATAAGAATAGACAGAGATTCCATTTACCAAATATGAAGAAGTGCTACATTAATAAGAATGTAAAAGTGAATCACTACGTTCTATGAAAGAAGTATAAAATAAAGTTAAAATAAATATATTATAACTAATTCAAAGTGAATTTTAAACAGCAGTAAATTAAAGACCATATAATACAATAGTAAATTAAAGACAATAGAGTATAATAAAAGTAATAAGAAGTTTTTAGATACCAAATTTAAAGGAAGAGAAAAATCGATAAATATTAGCATAAAAAAAAACAAGAATTATAAAAAATAGAAGATTAGATTCTTAAAGTTTAATAAGGCAGAAGATATTTTGAATGATGAAGAAGCTACATAAATATTATAATCATCTAAAGAGAAATCAAAGATATAGAAGAAAAATAAAGACTTCTGAATATGCAGAGAGAAAGGTAGATTAAGCTAGAATATAATACAAACCAATTACAATTCATGGAGCTTTACACTTTTTTGCAGTCATATCTTTAGCTTAATTAGATTTTATGTAAAATATTCATTAACTTGGTTATCAAAATTTTATTAGGAAACATATTATCAAAAGGAACCAAGCTAGTTTATTTAATAAAGAATAAATAAAAATATGACATTATATTTAATTTATAACTGAGTTTGTAGAGGATTATTTGGGAAGGATAAATTACTTTATAATTTTAATAACAATTGCTGAATAAAAAAATAAAAAGATTTTGATGAATTTTTGTTTATTATAAGATAAATTAATATTCTAAGGGACATATGAACTAAAATCAATTTTTAAGTGAGTTATACCTGAAAAATTCATACAAGTGGAAAAGTAAAAATTTTAATAAAAGTGAACAAAAAAATATCTTAAATTATTATAACAGTTTTANTGAATTCTGCACAATTTTAAAAATAGTACAAATTCTTAGATAAAGAACAATTTGGTAGATTAACTATTAAATTTTAGAAATCATTATTATATAATAAAATGATACAAATAAGTAAAGAATCAAAATGAATGGATAGATGGGTAGAATAATAAAGAAGGTTAATATTATATAAAATTAATGAATCTTAGTGGAAATAGAGCTTGATCTGCAGTAAAAAGTGTTGCTATGCCAAATGGGTATAATAAATTCGATATATTTGATATTTATTCTTTTTATTCAATAAGAATAGACAGAGATTCCATTTACCAAATATGAAGAAGTGCTACATTAATAAGAATGTAAAAGTGAATCACTACGTTCTATGAAAGAAGTATAAAATAAAGTTAAAATAAATATATTATAACTAATTCAAAGTGAATTTTAAACAGCAGTAAATTAAAGACCATATAATACAATAGTAAATTAAAGACAATAGAGTATAATAAAAGTAATAAGAAGTTTTTAGATACCAAATTTAAAGGAAGAGAAAAATCGATAAATATTAGCATAAAAAAAAACAAGAATTATAAAAAATAGAAGATTAGATTCTTAAAGTTTAATAAGGCAGAAGATATTTTGAATGATGAAGAAGCTACATAAATATTATAATCATCTAAAGAGAAATCAAAGATATAGAAGAAAAATAAAGACTTCTGAATATGCAGAGAGAAAGGTAGATTAAGCTAGAATATAATACAAACCAATTACAATTCATGGAGCTTTACACTTTTTTGCAGTCATATCTTTAGCTTAATTAGATTTTATGTAAAATATTCATTAACTTGGTTATCAAAATTTTATTAGGAAACATATTATCAAAAGGAACCAAGCTAGTTTATTTAATAAAGAATAAATAAAAATATGACATTATATTTAATTTATAACTGAGTTTGTAGAGGATTATTTGGGAAGGATAAATTACTTTATAATTTTAATAACAATTGCTGAATAAAAAAATAAAAAGATTTTGATGAATTTTTGTTTATTATAAGATAAATTAATATTCTAAGGGACATATGAACTAAAATCAATTTTTAAGTGAGTTATACCTGAAAAATTCATACAAGTGGAAAAGTAAAAATTTTAATAAAAGTGAACAAAAAAATATCTTAAATTATTATAACAGTTTTATATAAATAAAATATTTAAATGAACAATAAATAAAAATATAATAAAGTTGAAATAATAAAATTATTGGTGTAATAAATAAGAACATGGGTTATATTATGCAATTGTCATTTATATTTTTCAATGATGATTATTGAGGATATATAAACATCAAAAATGCATAATTATTTTAGATTATGGTTAACTAGTTATCCTAGTGATGATTTACCTGCTTCTATTATATAGAGTAGGGAGTTCTTCTAATCTCTCTCTTAATAATTAGATTATTCAAATAAAAACTTTTCTAAATATTTTTATGCATTGTCGTTCTTTTATGCTATTTTCTAAGATCGTAGAAATTATGGACCAATAGGTTTTAATATTTATTATGATTTAAATTAATCTGATCTATATATATCTATAAGATAGTTATAATAAATGATAGCAGCTGATTTATCTATACTTTTTCATACATTCTATTATCTAATAGATGAATTTAACTATAGTAATAAAAGTAGCTGATGAAAGAGATAGAAGACTTTTAGATGAATTTTAACACAAAAAGTAATATCTGATAATTTTCAAATTCAAGATTTCCCTAAGATAGAAGGATGAAGAATATTTGAATTAACTAAATACTTTACCTCATGTTTAACCTACAAATTTATTTAGATTTCATTCTAATGCTGAAATTATGAAAGATTAATAAGATACTAATGAGATTTTAAGAAAGTTATAATAAAATCTTGGATATTCTTCTTCTCTTAATACTGATTTTTAATAAGAAATTACTAGATCGAGTAAATTAATGTCAATCATTTAATAATCATCTATTGATACTTTAAATGCAATAAAAGGATAAACAGTCATCTCAGATTTATTGAAAAAAAAACACTTAATCATTTCTTATTGGAGCATTAACTGAAAAATGGAAAAAAAATAAGTTATCCATCATCGAAACCACTTGATTCTTATTTATATGTTTTCTTTAGAAAAATTAGATATTTTCAAAATTGATTAGATAAATAAATTGCTTATGTACATTGGATTTCAGGCATCTTTTTTACTCTACTGTTCTGCCAGAAAATATTCTATTACTGTAGAGAAACTAGATTTTGATTTCGAATTTTTATTAGAACCATAATCTAATTTTGAATTCGATTAATTACCACGATAAGTTAATAGTAATTTATTTTTTTAATGGTAGATGGAACACTTATCTTTGGTTTATTTTTAGAAGGATGTAAATTGGATTAGGGTAAAGAAATGATTGTTGAATCTAATGATAAAATACTTATAACCTTAACAATTATCATCTGACTTAAACTATTATAAGGAGAATTAGATATTAAAAATTTTAATATTTGCCCTGTTAACAAAATTCTTGGAAGAAGAGGAATACTCTCTATTACTGGTTATCTACCAACTTTATTATGAATGTTAATATACTTACTAAATAATCATAACATCATTAAGAGAAAGGTAACTATGTTATGTTAATTAACTGACTGATTCATTCAATTCGATATTTATTAATTAAATTTTATTGTATTTAATTTAACTATTAAACTATATAATCTTATCTTATTTTTATCACTCTCAAAATAATTTTAGTTTTTAAACTTTTATATCATTAATCCAATTTTCAGCATTAATTTATATCATGTTTAATTATAATAATTATAATCTAATTAATTTAAATTATCATGTCTGCTCATTCTTTTAAGCAAAATCAAGTTTAAAACAATCCTTAACAAATACCCTAACCATTTTCATACATTCCAGATACTCCAACTAATAAAACTAATAAAAAAGATGAACAGGATTTTTTTCAACTAAGTGTTAATAAATAAAGTAGCACTAAATCAGATGTTGAAAATATAGCTAATTCTTATTTTATCAACAATGATAAAAATAATTTCACTTTTACTATTCAAAACAAATTTCCAATGGTTTCAAATTTTACTCTCAATCATCATAATCATAATGTTGAAAAGTATGAATATGAAAAACCTATCAAAATACAATAACCATCTAAAATCTATTGTAAATTTTGCAATACAAGAAAACCTACATAAGTTATACTCAAAAATGGATCTAATACATACATCCTTGTTTGTATTTTATTTATATTTTTTCTCCCATTATTTTGGATTCCACTGATATCCAAAAAATGTAAAGATTAACTTGAAATTTGTGTTGTTTGTAATCGTTATGCAAACTCTATTCCATTTAGATTATTTTGAATATAGATTTTTATTATTGATTATTCGTATAATTATATTGCTGCAAGACAAATATATTATTAAAAATTGAATTAAATTTGATGCAAATATATTCTTAGATTTTTTAAGCTTAAAAAGTTTATTTAAACTATACCAAATCATGGAAATCAATTCTGTATAATATTGATTAAATGATTAAATTTAAAACTTCCATTTATTTGCATCAAATAAGAAGTAAAATCTATATTTTATAGATATTTTTATATAATAGATTGTTAAATAAAAAATCTTTATCAGAATTTTAAAAAAATCAAACATAATTAATTAAAAAATTAATTGTAAATTTTTACTGGGCTTATAAATAATAATATAGAGTATTATCCAAGAAGAGTTAGTTATTTTAGAAAAGAATATAGATTAGATATTTTAATAAAATAATTAGTTTATCAAACAAAATTCTATAATTTGACTAGATTGTTTATCTCCTCCATTATTGTTAAAGATTTAACAAACTTCTTAGTAAATGTTTTTAATTCTTAATAAAAAATTCAAAGAGTATGGTTAACAATAAGATTTATTTTTGGAATTATTCATTCGAGAAAATAAAATCACTTAAAAGAACAATAATTTAGTGATGAATAAAATTATCAAATTTATATTTAAAATGCTTCAATTACATTTTATATCTGATATAATTAGGAGATTAATAGCTTAAAAATAAAATTTATACATTCATAGATGAGATAAATAAATTTTCAGTTATTTTCTTTTTAATCTATTACATTTATGTAAGTAGTTCCATATAAATTGATTGTAGTAATCTAAGGGTCTACAAGTCGTGATTTTTTATGAATACTCAGATTTGATAAATCTTTAGATAATTCTCTTGAATCATCTTTAGAAATGGAATCTTAATTATTGTTATTCTTACTTAAATTTCTATATATTGAATGATGTTTTAAAGGAGATCTAACAGGTGATGTTCCAAAAATGCTACTTGTAGGAGATCTTTCTCTTGGGGATAATCTCTATTTAATGTGAGATATATTTGTAAATCTTGGTCTATCTTCAGCTTATTATTATGTTATAGATGCCTTTTTTTTAATTTAAGAATTATTAGTAGATGATGAAAATGAAATAGGATAGGATTGATCAGAATCTCCACTTGCTGTATATTAAGATTAATTTTTTGATAATTTATTTGATTCTATTATTGTTTTTTATTGAGCAATCAATAAATCTTTTGAAACTAATTCTTATTGTGATTTTTCTTGATCTGATTTCATCTCTAAAATTTATTTAGATAGATCTGCAAATCTTTATTTCCAATAATTAATTGTTTATTATTACTCTTCTGTAATCTATAATAATAAAGATTTTAATATATGTTTTTATTATAGATTTGTTTTAAGAGCGTTTTACAATTATTTTTCAATGATTTGATTTTCTTTTTAAGCTGCTAATAACTTCATATAATTTTCATCTTCTTATTTAGTTTCTTAAGTTTCTTCAATTTTTTAAGTGTTGGTTTGAATTTAAGATTGAATTTCCATTATTGAATTATTAATCTCATAATATTCCTCAACATTTGAATATATATCATTATAAATTTTGGTTAAGTAGATTGATTTAGTAGAGTTATCTCCTTATTATTAAAATTCATTTGTTGAAGATAAATCTTCTAATTTTGGATTTTATTGAATGGATGTCACTTCTTTATGAACTTATCTTTTAATTTAAGTAGCTCTTTAAGAATAAGTTAATGTATTCAAAATTTCATCATAAGATTGCTTATTCTATTATACACATGCTATCATAATAGTTTTTGTATTTCCTCCTAAAGAATCTTATAAGAGTCTAGTTAATTTTGAATTTCTATATGGAATATGCTAATTTTTCTTTGTTTTATCTGACAACATTGTTAAACAATGACTTAATGCCAATAATGATTTATTTATATTAGATCCTTCTTATTAATTTTTAGACTTCTATTCTAAATAGACTTTTTCAGAACCTGCCAAATCTACAATGAACAATTTTGGAGTTAAAATTTAACTAGAAATTTTATTTATCATAATATTACTTTTCAATTTTATATGATAAGTTTACTTGAATAACAGCATGGGATCTTGAAGATGAAACATTATAAATTGTCTATGCCAGACTTCTATTTTAATTTCCAAGATTTAAAACATCTTTTACCTCTTCACAATTCTTACAAACCATTTACTATACTCCAGATATATATTATCCTTTTTAACTATCCTACATAATTACTAATGATTTTTAATTAGTATTTAAGAGATCCCTTATTGTCTCATTATATATCTCAATAAAACTCACTTCTAATAAGGCATTTTCCAAAGTACTAAAATCTAGTCTCTTAATTACTTTGTTTTTTCAACCAAATAATTCAAACATTAAAATGCCAGTCCTTCATCTTTCTCATTCCCAAAAATTGTATGAGTCTTCCCAGATCCTGTTATACCATAAGCCAGAATAGTTGTATTGTAACCTTCAAGGAAATAATTTATATTATTCTGACCCCTTAGATATTTGAAAACATACCTACAGAATCTCAGAAAAGATTTAAGCATTGTTTTCGTTATTGAATATACGATCAAAATGAAACTCTTTATTGTTTCTCCCTTATTTGGTTATCACTATTCTCCTCTCATCTAACTCTTAAATTATAGTGTCTTGACTAGCAATTGTAAATATTATTACCTATTATCTAACAAGGGCTTCACTCTAAGATATACTTAAAAGGGTGTATTATTAGACATTTAATTAGCAGTTAAATATTAAATTTATTTTAATACATTATATAACAATTATTTCACGTTGTTATAATCATACCCTAACTATATTCCTTTCCAAATAATTCTTTCGTATAAAAACTGATTAAAATTAACTAAGAATATTTATTTTTCTTAAACTTTACTACTTATTGATTATAATATTACAAACATTAATTTAAATTTATCAACAAATATAAATATTAATTAGATCCTATTAAATAAATTATTCAAAAACTTATATATTACTACTTAAGTTTTTTTCAATTCAAAATTGTTTTGGATTTGCTAAAAAATAGAAAACGTATATTTCAAATTCATAATATCCTTCATTATTTTTCTAATTACTTTTTATGTTAATATAATGTTGAACTTAATAATTTCTTTATTAATGATAAATTTTCTCATTAAAATTTACCTCTATAAAAATTCTACATTACACATTGTAAAACAACTAATCTTAAAAGACTTACAGAATTATTTAAAATTTTCAATTGTATCTATTAATAGAAATCTGAATTATTGATTAAAATATCCTAAACTAAGTAAAAATTAATAATTTAAAAATATTACTTAAATAGAATTGTGATTTATTATTTAAATATAAAATGAAAGAGTTGAATAGAAATAAATAATCGAGTTTCAAACTTGATTTATATATATTCAATAAAATAAAATATCTTCTAAATATCTACCTTCAACAAGTTATTTGTATTTTGATCCCTTGTTTATAATCTCATTAAGACTCATTCTTTTGACTTCTTAACAAAAGTATTCCACTTTTTATTTTTTAAATTTAGATTTAAAAAATCAAAAGAAGATCATTTGAACTTCATAATTATATTAATCAATTAAATAAATAATGAACTCATTTTTTTAAATACCTCAAGAGATTACACTAACACCAATAATCAATCATCAAAAGCACTTATTGTAATTTATAAGAAATTGCTTCTGATTGTAATTATCGATAATAATGTCTTGATTGCAAACAAAACCGAATATATTGAACAGATTAAGTAAAATTTCTCTTAATTCAAATTCAAAGTATTAAAACAGTAAATCTAATGATTCCTAAACTCCTAATAATTATCAAATTCATTTTTAAAAAATTTACTAAGTGAAAAATAAAAAAAAAACTCAATTAAGTCAATCCTTTAAATTACAAAAAGAAATGATATTACTAGATTGAAAAAGATAAAGGAATAGAGAGATAATATACCATTCTTTGTTAGAGTGTATGCAAATTTTACAGATTATATGATTACATTTAAACCTTAAACCTGGATTAAACAATCAATTAAAATGAAAGTTATTTTGAATCTAATTCTCTACTTAATTTTTGTTAAATTATAAATATCAAATTATCGACTATGAAATTTCTAATACATTATCACTCTTATTAAAAGCTAAAATAATTACAAAATATACTTTTTATTTTATTTCTTTCAAGATTGAAATGAACACTCTTTTAATGAGAACATTGTGAACCTAATTCTTTTTATAAACTCTCATAAAATTGATTATTAACAGTTTTAAAGAATTTTCTTTTTTGTGCTTGGCTCATTAATAAATATGCAGGAACAGAACTCATTATTTCTTTCAAAATTTTTAATTTTTCTTAATTTCTAATAACTTCACTATAATCATCTCCTTCAATTTTTTATTCATTAATTTAAGCATTTATGTTTCTCTTTTTTAATTCCTTCTTTTTGATTTTTTTCAATTTTTCAATTATTTTCTAATATTTTTTTTTTGATTTTGAAAAATTACTAATACTATTTTCTTGATTTAATTGTTATTCTACATTCATCTCAATTTGATCTTTCATTTCTTCTCCAATTTTTAACTCTTAAAAATGTTATTATTTTTCCATATTAAAGAGACTCACTATTTGTTGTTTTTGATTTATAATTTATCCTAAAATATTTTCAATTTATATTCTTTTAATATATAGGTTAATCTTTCTTACTCTAAGAATTTCATTTTAACATAATCTATAGCTCTCTTATGAACTTGGCCCCAAGATTTTAATTCATTCAGAACAATTTTTTCATAATTAGGAAAGGTAGACTAGAATAATAATAAATTTATTAGCAACTCCAAAATTAATATTATATGCTTTTACTTAAATATAAAATCTAAAAATTATCAATCACTATTTTTCTATAACTTGTTATTCTTTATTACATAACTATTTTTCAAACCATATATTTTATTTTTTTTTAAATACAGCAATTAGTTTATTTTTGAATTCTTTAAATAAAGACTTATTATATCACAAGTATGATTACATTTAAAAGTCCTTCATAATGATTATATGATTTTGTAAATTTTAGAGAAAGAATAAATTAAATCAAATAAAAGTGTTTCTTAGAGACTAAAAGTAAATAATTTAATGGGAGAGTTAATGAGAGAAGAAAAAGCACTAAGATGTATTGAAAAGATTAAATAGATAAATTTGATGATGATTTCATTTATAAAAGTGTTTATATAATTTAGTATTTCATATCTAATACATGATAGAAAACATTTATATAAAAAAATATTTGCTTATTTATCTTTTGATTATCTTTGGGCCACAGATAACCCGAAGAATGGTAATAAATTCAACCGAGCCGGTTTAGCTCAGTGGTTAGAGCTTTTGCCTTGTAAGCAAAGGGTCGAGAGTTCAATTCTCTCAATCGGCTGTTATTTTTATTTTTTATTTTATAAATGAATAATATTTTATCATTCTAAATATTTAATGAATTCTTTAACACTAATTGATCCATCTTCATCTCTGTCTAATGCTTTGAAAATAAGTTCAACATCATCTTTATCAAGATTTCTAATTCTCATTTTTGTGAAAACTTCTGCTAATTCAGCTCTATTAATAGTTCCACTAGAATCTTTATCAAAAGTTGCAAAAAGTTGTTAAGGAGTATATTTATTTTTAACAGCTCTTGATATTCTATTGAATACCTAATAATATTAGGATATATATTACTTCTTTAGCTTTACCAATGGCTCGTTCTTATTCAATTTGGCTTAATGATCCAAAGCCTGATCTCCCAGTTTAACCAAACATGTCAGATTGTTATGCTCCTCTTAATTTACCAAGATCCAAAAATTAATTGTAATTAATCATACCGTTTACTGGTTTAACTACATATAACTAAAATTTTAATATGGATAATATTACAGTAATATCATCAATTTCATTAGGAGTGAATCCTACTTTCTGTTCTCTAAGAATTTGTTTGAACTACATCTCAGTTACATAGCCAGGTTTTTAGGCTTTAGATTGAAAAGCTAATTGAAGAACTTTAGCATTTTTAAAACATATTTCTTCAGCTTTTCGAGCAACCTTTTCTTTGTCAATAGTTTCTTAATTGAATTCTGATTCATTTCTATCTTGATCAAGAGCTGGCTTTACAATTTATAAGAATTCAGATATACTAATATGGCCATCCCTATTTTTATCAAACTCTATAAATAACTCATTTAATTCAAAATCATCTACTGGAACTAACTAAAATAAATATAAATAAATTGATTACAATCTTATTTTTAAATATAGCCTTTAATTCAACCTTGGATAAGTATCCATTTCCATCTTAGTCGATATCATTAAATAATTCTGGTATGGTTTTTTTATTTTTTCTCATATATGTTATAAGATAACCAACAACATAATTTTATATATTTTGTTAGGTAGGTTGAGCCTTGATAATTTGCAACCTATTATTGTACATATTAAGAGTATCTGCAAATTCTGAAATGGAAATTCTACCATCATGATTTATATCGAAGAATGCGATAATTTATTGAATGTCATCGTCTCCATTTTATAAATTACGGTGAACTCCAAATTAAATAAGGAACTTTTTCATTTCATTTGCTTCAATAAAACTATTTCTGTTTTCATCCATAAATTCTCTGACTTACATTAATGTCCATTGTCGTGCTTAACCGTAATTAAGAATAGCAGTAATGGCAATATCAATAGGAGATTAAGAGACTTAAGTCTCTTAGATACTTGGGAAATTAGATTACATTCTCTAATTACTAGTCTATCTAAATGAAGATTATGAATAGACCTATTATTGTTGTGATGTAGGGATCAACTTAAAGAAATTAGCAAATTCTCTAAAGTTTATTAATTAGTCTTGATTGATATCCATATAAAATTTCAGAAAATCTCTTAATTACGCAATAGGAATTAGTAGACTATTTTACTGGAAATACTTTTATAATTCATCTAGAGTTAATTATCCATCAGGTTTTACAGAGTCAATTTCCATAAATAACTCTTAAACTGATTTGCCATAAGAAAGTTTTCTTTTCAGTAAATCATAAATGGAATTATGAATTTATTCCAATTAAGTTCGTTGCAATTGCATAGTATTTTATTGCATTAATTAATTTATGGATGACAATTCTTAAGTCTGATATTATGACTTAAAGCCTGCTTCATACATGATGCTTTCATTAGATTATAAACGGAAGAATTCTTAGAATTTTTATTGATTCAAGGGTTAGGGTAATTTGGAATAGTAAACTTACATTTCTTAAGGATTCATTTTAATATTTAGAACATTCTTCAAGCCATTGGCGAAATCTTCAAAAGTGATTATTTAATCTTAATCTTTATCAAAGACTCTAAAAGCAGTAATCCCCAATAAACCTCTGGATCTCATTTCTGAACTAATTTTATGAGTAATATTTTCTTCCCAAGATTCTGCAATCATAGATCTCTATTAATTTAAAGTGTCTTCATCTTTAATATCATACCAAAAAATTTTAACATAGACTGAAGCTACTTTATCTCCATCATCATTTTTTACTTCTGCTGCCAAATCTATCATTTAATTCTTTACCAAAGGAGACAAATCTATTAAACAGAATCCTACCTTGTCATTTGATCCTTCCACTAATGGTTAATTATCATCAATGATGTATAATTCTAAAGGCATTCTGTTAAATTAGTTTACCACCATTTCATTATACACAATTTCATGGACCATTCTATAGTCCCATTTAGGATTAGTACCCATTTAGGTGTTAGTATGATAATCTTTTGTATCAAAATTATAGTAAATGAAACAATTTGATTTAGGAGGAAGGGATGTTCCTTTTTCAATACAAATAATGAGTTTTCGTTTTCTTACTGCTACTATCTCTTCAGCTTCATCCAAATCTTACATTTACAACTAATTTCTCTCCTTTAGTAAACGAATGAAATTAGATATGGGATATCTCATTCTTGCTTTATATTCAACTATTCCTATCATCTAATTGTTAATTCCATGGAAAGTCAAAGAACCACTAATAACTTTACTAATTGTATCATTTTTATTCTCATAAACTAATTCCTTTAATTAAATCAATCCTGATCCAATCTTAGTAGGTTCACTGCCTTAACTAACATAAAGTTCCAGTTTTAGATAATTGCTTTCAAGATATTGAATAAAATTTGCATCAGCATCTACTTTAAAACTGATTTATAAATTGTAAAAGCATGATGTTCCTTCTGATACACTAGTATGTTGTGTTTCATGATCATAAAAATCAATTGTAACAAATGTCAATAAACTTCCAAGATCTAAATTTAATTAAGTAGATGTCTTATATGAAGATACTAATTCAGCAGGTTGATATTCTCCTTTTCCAACCCATAAATCAAAGAAGTTTTCTCCGGGTGACAACATTTCATCTTTATCAACTGAAAATACTGATATAGAATCATCATATTTAATTCCTTCAGCTTCATATAATGTTTATTATTATCTAGCCTAAGTTTTCAGATCTGCTATTTTTGCATATTCATATGCCTTCTCATTTGCAACCTTCAACTCTAATTTTAATTATTCTATCTATGTTTAATGCATTTTATCTTTCTCCATTTATATATCCTATTAATTCTTTAATAAAGTCTATGTCTTTTCTAAATGGGCAGCCAATTCTCCTTTTTCAAGTTTCAAATGTTCAATCTCTTTTCTTAAATATACAGGATCATCAGAATCCAAATAAGTTCTATCTATAAATTCTATCTTTCTCCAAGCTGGATCTTCTCCGGTCCATTTCAAATTACCTAATACTTTTAAAAATTAATCATTATCCCAATAATTTAAATCTTTAAATGGAAGTAACTATTAATCCTTCTCAGCCAACTTAATGTTTAGTTCTTAATTTTTTTCTTAAAGTATTTTTAATTCTTTTTTTAGATTCTCAATATCTTCTCGTTTTAATCTATTCTCTGTTTCTAACTTTGCATTTGTCTCTCTCAAATTTTTTAAATCTGTAGCATTTCTTATTTATTCTTATTCCATTGCTTTCATCTTTGCTTATATAGTTGCTCTTTCATTATATTCCTTAAAAAATGGAGATTCCATAAGTATTGCTAATCTTTCTTCAATTTCTTTCTTTTATCTTCTTGCTTCTTATAAATCAGCTTATAAATCAACTACACTTTTTTATGCCAATTCCATTGATCTAACTTATCCCTCTAATAAATGATTTTTTTCTTTTTCTTCTCTTAAAAGCATCATTATTTCACTCTATCTTTTACGTTCATCATCTAATTATGTTCTCATACCATTTAAATTAGATTCTAATTTATTGCACCTTTCTTACAAAGTTACAAATTATGCATTTTTCTAACTTAACTCCTATTAATTAACAATCTTAGAATTCATCATTGCCTAAAGTTATCTAAATTATGCTTCTTGTTCTAATAATCTTTTCTTTAATTTATCATTTAATTCTAATAATTATTTGATTTAATTTTATTAATCTACAAATTATCCTCCTCTTATTCCTGTCTATTCTATTTCTGGTCTATCAGCTTATACTAATTTCTTTTTCTTCATTGGCTAATGAGCAACAACTACTCTTTATGCTTAAGATATTGCTTATATCTTTTATTTTAATTTTTCATTCTCTGTTTCCAAGTTATTGACTTTTGATACCAATTAATTATTTTATTCTACTGTCTCCCCTGTACCAACAGTTTTATTGCCCATAAATTTTTACATTTATTATAATTTAACTTCCATTGTTCCATACATTTTTTCAAATTTTACCTAATTCTCTTTCAATTTGATATTCTCATCATATACATCCAAGAATAATTTCTCTTTCTCTCCATCATTCAACTTATTAAATTAATATGGTTTCTTCTTTGGCATTGAAGCAGTTCTTTTATTTGAAGTTTCAGGTCTTTTTGCTTAACTTGTTTATTACTACTATTTTGGTTTTGAATCCTAAGCATCTAATCAACATTAAACCACTATCCTTACTTTTTATAACATTTAGAATTGCATCATCCCCATCAAAATCATCATTATAAACATTACTCTCATTTTACTAATCTGGTATACTTGCTTATTATTTTTATTGCTATCGACTCTCATTCTGCCGCTCTTTTATAGAAATCAATATAATACTTAAATTTCCAAGGGCATTGGTCATCGCTTACTAATCCATTATTTATTAATATATATATAAATCATCTATATTTCAAATTCTTTCACCAAACATACCATATACTCAAAAACCATTTAATACTATTTATGCTGATTGAATTTAAATACTCTTTATTCTCTCCAATCTCCTCTAAATCATAAAAACCCAATTTTATGCATTATTTAACTTATCACTCTTTTATATAGCATTTTTTTATCAATGCAATTTATTTACTTTCCATTTACCTTTCTTTCTAATCAAACAAACTAAAACTTAATAAGAATCCTCCCAATTATTTTTAAATATGGCTAAGTATACTAAAAATAATTACAAATAATAATGATAAGGTTACTTCAAATGAATGAATGAAACTTGAGTCTCCAAACTCTTTATAAGATAATTTTACTCATTTCTTATACAACAAACAAATCTAAAATGAGATCCTAAAAATTAGTCATACTTTATATTGGGAATATGAATTGAGTTACTTAAATTTTTACCTTTAATATAATAAAAAGCTTGATATGTACTATTCCTCACTCAATGCTCAAATGTTCATATTCATAAAAAAATTGATCAATTAAATAAATTAAGTTATTAGTAAAATTTATTCCAATAACCGCTTGGCGTTACTTAACTATTAATGTCCACATTATCATAAAAAACTTAACCTTTCTTCAAGTAATCATTTCTGTATTATGTTCTCTCTTCTCTTATTTGTATAAACTTTTTCTTTAGTTTTTATTCAATCGTTATTAGAAAATTTTTATTATCAATTGAATTTAATGAAAACATAAATTTAATTTTTATAATATTTAATAATTTCAAATTCTTTTTTAAAATACTAAGCAATTATCTGGTTCAACACATTATAAAAATTTGACTCCAAATTTAATTTATGAAACTTGAGGGTTGATTATAATTTTATAGTTTCTAAGAATTAAGGCAATAATTATTTTAGCTTCCATTAAAGCCATATGTTATCCAATACAATTTCTAGGTCCAGCTGCAAAAGGAATATGAATAAAACCATTATCATTTTTTATTACATTTTCTTTTTTCAACCATCTTTTATAATTAAATTCCAAAGCACTTTCAAAATGATTATCTTATATACTGCTAGAATTTTACATTTATACTATTGCCCAACCTTTTTTAAGTTTTATATCTCGAACTTATTTATCGTGTTTCACAGTTCTAAAAAGAGTAGTAAATGCTGGATTTCTTAATCTTAATACTTCTTAAATTAAAGCATTAGTTTTAATTAACTTATTCAAATGTTCTTCTTTTATATCATTTTATCCAATAACCTATTAAATTTCTTCTAATATTTCATTTTAAATTTCAGGATATTAGGCTAAATAATATAAGCAAGTTCCAGATGTTGTAGCTGTTGTATCTGTACCAGCAAAAAATAATGTAATGAATTAATGTAATATCTCTTCAATATCTATTTATTATTCTTTTTATCCTTATTATTTTAAATATTCAGTAACATATAGATCTAAGAACACCATTTTATCTTAATCTTGAATTGGGTTTTCTCTTAGTTATTCAATCCTTTTCTAAATCATTTCTTTAATTTTCGTTCTAACATTATCAACTCTTTATACAATTTCTTTCTCCTTTTTACATGGAAATATCTCCCACATTCTTTCTTCAAATAATAATGATTTTATAAAAATATAAATGTTTTCCATATGCATTATAGAAATTTCTCCAGTTAACTATATTAACGCTACCTATGCATCTTTGCCTTCTAATTAGAACCCTTCTGCTAATTCACCAAAAAAGCTTTTAATTACTATTTCTCCTGTTATTCTTGACATAAAGTCATTCAGATGACTCTTATTATCCTTTTCTGCTATCTATTATACAACTTAATTCATCATAGGTAATCTTGATTTTAATTTTTCAAATGTGAAAGCTGAGCCTAAAAACTTTCTCTATCTTTTCCAACTTTCACCTTCGCTCATCACTAATCCTTTTTATATAAATGAAGGAATCATAAAAGGATTTATTTTTTCAAAATCATGATGATCTAGATATGTATCCTTAATATACTCTGATCCTGTTAACATGATACAAGGTTTGTTTAAATAATTAGATAAAATGACTTTGGCTGAAGGATTTTTTCTTAGAGCATTGTTAATCGTATGCATAACATCATGGTTAGATTTTATCGATTTCATAAATACACCGATAAAACCAGATAATGGATAAAACATGAATATCGCTTTTTCTCCTAATTTTATCTTTAATAAAAGCAAAGGAACCAAAGGCTTTATTATTAACAGATAAGCTGCAAATGTTATCAAGGATAGGATTGCTATAAGAATTACTTACATTTTATTTATTAAATAACAGAAGCATTGATATTTTGAGTTATCAATCACAAAAAATTCTAAACAAGATAAATTGAGATTCTTAATTTTAATCAGTATAAATCAGAAATAGAATTTTAGGATAAATTCATTTTCTAAAAAAAATTAATTAAATATTATATTTAAAATTAATTATTAAATATAATCAAATTTCGGATGTTTATTTACTTTTCTCTTAAATTGAACCAACATGTTTAATTCTCTACTACATTGTAATTCTAAATCAACTTTTAGTTATCTTGAATAAGTCAGATCTCTCAATCAAGCAATCATTGGAAATATTTCCTCTTCAAATTTATCTATATGAATATTCTTCTTTCCCATAAAGCATCTTATTATTTAGAATTAATATAAGTATTCGGTCTATGCTAAATGTAATTAATTTATTTAACTGAAAATAATTAAAAATTCTTCGTAATTCTAAGCGAAAACCTGAAAATAATTCTCTATCTATTCAAATATGCAGTTTTTATTAAATTTAATTTGGTTCTAAGTTTGATATAATTCTCATAAATTATACAATCAATTATTTAATTAATTTTAAGATTATTATAAATTTAAAAAATTAAAGATTGCCTGATTCCATTTATATAAGTTTATTTTAGAGTTTTTATTAATTTTTTAGGTAACAATTAAACCTTACTTTAACATAGAAATTATTTTTAATTTTAAATATTTAAGCATTTTCATGCTAAATTTATTTTTCAAAGCATAAAATTTTGGAGTTCAAAATAAGAACTATTTCTATTTAATTTTAATATAAATTTTTTTGTAATTAACATTATATTATGCCAATGTTTAATGTTTAAATAGATAAATAATCAAAATCATTCAATTGCTAATGTTTTAGTCTCTTTTAAAAAAATATTCTCAATTAGAAAATTTTCTTATTTTTTTTGTATCCATTTTTCTATAATGATCTCTTCCCATCTTTACTAATATATGTTTATGTTAATTTCTGTATTCATTCATTTTATCGTCGTTATTTATATATTCTGTTCTTCCATTTTACTGATTATTCCAAGTAATCTTTTTCCATCCATATGTATGATAAAAATCATGTGTTTAAATCTTTCTTGTTTCTCTAAGTCCATAATCTTGTTAAATAATCTGTTTAATTACCATAAAAAAGGTAATTGACCAAATAATTCCAATAGTAGATCATATTTTTCAATCATTGATTTGCTTAACATCCAGAGGACGGGAAACATATAATCAACATATGGTTTCACAAAACACTCATATATATTTTGCTTTCATTAGTCTAAATATATCAAATAAGTCAGTTTATCTATCAGTATCTTAGGAATTGTCTTATTCTTTAATATGTTTCATCCATAAAGGTAGAATATCTTCTAATCTCATCCAATCGAATCATACTGCTTTTTTATAAGCCTTATATCTATCCCCTAAGAGTTATCCTTTTACATTTCTTAAGCCGACGCAATAATATTTATTCTATTTCTTTATTTCATAGATTTTATCTTTTTTTTCTTCTTCAAAAATATGAATAGTTATTGAAACACAATATGCAATTTCAAAATAATTCATTTTCATAAATCTATTTCAAATTCTTGTATATTTCTTATGTTCAATAAGCTCTCCTTATGTTATTTGATTAATTCATCTAATACGCAACTATCAACTATCATCTGTTTATAATTAGTTTTAATTTATCCATTTATTTCCATTGCATTAATTATTAGCTCTTACATTTATCTACCAGCTTTCGCCGTTTGAGACAAATTTATAATATTCTTTTTATTTATACTATCTTTTATCTTAAATGAAGATTGAAAATCAAGATCTCATTCTTGATACTTTGGAATTTTATTTATTACTATTTATATTTATTGAGGTCGGTTACTGCAAAGTTCAATCAGCTCCCATTTAATACAATTCCCTCGTTAAAATTCATCTATTTTTTTTAATTAAAAAAAGGTTAATGTAATCCGGTCCTTCTGGTTATTCTATCTTAATTTTAATTTGTTTGTGATCTGGTGGGTTGTAATTTTGATTATGAAATTTTTATAATTATTTCTGTTCAATCTGATAGATTATTAATAGCACCTTATTTTCAAGTTGATTGCTATTATACATACATTAAAAGCAAGTGTTTAAAGGAGTTGATAATATTTTAGGCATCATATCTTGAAAATAAAGTGAAATTTATTTTTTTAGCTGGAAAATCAAATTTTAGTTGAAAAATAAAAATAATATAATATTAAATCGAACTAATAATAGATGATCGCAATATCAAAAAAAATATTCCACTTCAGACAAATTTTATAATAAAAATAATTATAAGCTCAAAATAAAATTTTGATCATTAAGATGAGATAATCTCAACTATTAAAAATTGACAAGAAATGCTATTGTTTTATGATTAGTCTTTTTATCTTAATGAAGCAAAAATTGTATTTTATAAAAGAATAATTTAGACTATGTTACTCAATAATGCAAATTGATAAATTTAAATTAACTAGAAGATCTGATTAAATAGCAGGATCTATTTTTATAAAAAACCGAAAAATATCAAATCCGAAATAACTTTTTATGGTTTGCGTTTATCAAAGTTCAGCCAAAATTGCTATAAAGAATTTCAATTTGTATTTTTCAATAAGTTTAATTCCTATTGATTTTTTATTAAAAAAGTCACCCTTATTGGTGATTCTATATATATTAATAATAAATATATATTTTCATAAAATCCAATAAATTATATATTTTTTTTTATAAAATTATATATATATAAAAACTTAAGATAAATAAAATATATTTAATAATTTCAAATTCTTTTTTAAAATACTAAGCAATTATCTGGTTCAACACATTATAAAAATTTGACTCCATATTTAATTTATGAAACTTGAGGGTTGATTATAATTTTATAGTTTCTAAGAATTAAGGCAATAATTATTTTAGCTTCCATTAAAGCCATATGTTATCCAATACAATTTCTAGGTCCAGCTGCAAAAGGAATATGAATAAAACCATTATCATTTTTTATTACATTTTCTTTTTTCAACCATCTTTTATAATTAAATTCCAAAGCATTTTCAAAATGATTATCTTATATACTGCTAGAATTTTACATTTATACTATTGCCCAGAAGAAAGGAAATAATAGGTGATCAGAAATAGAATAGATCGAAAAGCTAAAAAATAACATAGAAAGTATTGTGATTTGTTTAAAATCCATGCTTTCAATTTACATTTAATTTTTTTTGCAGAAAAATAAGTTTTTGATGTTTTGGTTGAAAAGATTTATTATAAACTTAATAATTATCATATATCATATTAAATCAGCATAAAATTACTCATTATTCTAGCTAAATTAAAGCTTTGTATTCTTAAAAATTAATAAGCAAATTAGGAGTAGAAGTAATTATTTTTTAAAATAACAGTTATTTAACAAATTAATCTATAATTGATTTTTATACTTTGCTTAAATTTATTTCTCAAGTTTCTTATAGTAAATTAAGTAAGCTTTTTTTATAATATCCTCTAGATATCAGTGAATTAAGAGATTTTGAAAGATGATTAATTAAGTTTTATTATTCTACCAAATTCTTAGACTTATTAACTGGAAATTATTCTTGCAATTAGCAAAATCAATCTTTGAGGATATAATTGAAAAATTGAAATTTATATTCTTTACAAAAACTTTTCGATTGCAATTGATGTTTGGAAAACTCTAAACTTTATGCTTTGAAAATTTTAATTAATTATTTATACAAAAAATATGTTTTAAAACTGAAATGTAAATTTTAATTTAAAAAACAATGTATTTTCTAGTTTTTCTCAATAGTTAACATAAATATAATAAGGTTGATAAAATCTGTAATAATTTAGATGATTTGCACAGTATTCTATTTTAATGAGTTTCTTTGATTGATTAAAATTTGATAGTTAATATATATTATGAAATCATCTAATAATTATGCTATTGAACTGCAAGGTAATTAAATATCAAAAGTAAACGAGGAAGATGCTTAACAATAAGATGAAAAACTTTAAAATTTGCTTTATACAACCCCAGAAATTAGAAAGCATAATAAAATGAAGTCAACAATACTTTAAGGTTCAAAATAGAATGCTTTTGAAGATAGCAGGGTTACAAGACTTTATTTTGAAAGATATAGAGTCTTAGAATTGGGTAGAATGTGGACAATTTGTGCAAGTATTATTCTAATGATTCTTGAAGTAATGTTTGATATATATAATAGTATGAAGTTTCATTTGCCTATTAATTATAGGATACCTACCAAGAAGAGATTAAAGTACTATTATATCTGATTGTTTTCCTCACAATTATAACTAGTAAATTGTTAATCTTATATAGTTATAATGACAATAATGTCATATTTAGCCGAACTCGAATTTAAGAAATGCTCTCTGGCAATACCTAAGGCTTCCAATATATTTTAAACTAATCTCATATTTCTTTTGTTAATTGAAACAACAATATTACTACCTTGTCCAACACCATTTACTAATGGATATAGTGTTTCATTTTCTCAAAGATATTCTGATTAACCGAGATTTTATTTTGTAAATGAGATACTTACTTTTGTAATGCTATTTAGATCCTTACTTATTTTAAATATAGCATTTAAATTCCAACCTTTTTATTCAAATAGAGTCAATAGATTATGGTATTACATAATTTCATTATAGTGGCATATATTCAGTTGACTTTGGTCCTCATTTTATTTTTAAAGTAACAATTAGAGAACATCCCTATTCAACTCTATGGGGTCTATTTTGTATTGGAATTTTCTTGTTTTCTTATCAACTAGAAATTTCAGAAAGATCATTACTCAGAACTACAACTGAAATTGATCATTACAACATAAATAATTCTTTATGGGTTTGTATGATTACGTTATTTACAGTTGGATATGGAGATCTATTCCCAACTACTGAACTTGGAAGATTTGCTTTGACTTTAGGCTTATTTTATGGTGTAGCATTGACTTCACTTTTTACAGCTATATTATATGCTGATTTATAGCCATTTATTTCAGAATTAAGATCTATTACTTTATTAGATAAAGCTAGTATCAAAATGGAAATTAGATAAGTTGCTGAAAGAATTTTATTCAATTTTTATAAGTTAAAAACTTCTATTCAAAAAGAATAAATAAAAAATATTTAGAAAGATCCTCAAACTTTGAATAGAATTGGTTAGATCTAAATCTTTTTGTAAGAAGGATTATAACTTAAAAGGTATTCATATATTTATTATTATTAAAGAAATTATAGATCAATAGACAATGAAGATTTTATTACTATAGCTGACAGATATTTTAAGGATATGAATTATAGGATTGAAGAATTAAAAAATATGTTTAAAAAAATGAAATCTCAATAATTATCTATCAATTAAAATGACACTTCTAAAATTAGATCCATATAAAAATAATGTCATACAATTACTCATTATGATGGAAATAGCAAAGATGATCAGTATTTTGAATAATTAATTGATTTTGAATCTGGTGATTAAAAACTTATGTAATTTAATGATGATGAATGAATGATAATTATACACTTAACTTATAAATTTAAATTTACTTATTAATATGAATTCTTTAGATAAAAGCCAGTTAATGATGAATGTCTTGGATTTATTTTATTTTTTTAGTCACTAATAAACTTTTTAGAATAAACAATAAATTAGACAAATCTTTGTAATACTTTACTCAATCAAAAAAGAAAAAGTAAAGGAAAACCTTTTATTATTAGAAACACCTTTTTTATTAATTTTTCTAATTTCAGATGTGAATTGAATTGTGTTTGCTATATTATAAGAATTTTTCTTTGCAAACAGAATTGGATACATTCAAACAATAATTTGAATATCAAAATCTCAAAACCAATAAAAATATAATTATTTAAATTGTAAGGATGTCACTTTAATTAAAAGTGTCATCAATTTAATTTACTTATTATCAAGTTTTTAAATTCATAAATATTATTAATGGATAACAAATAAAACTCTAAATTAATACCTTGTTTGTAAAAATATTTACCACAATATTACTATTTAGCTAAAGGTAAATAAATAATAAAAATAGTTTTCATACTGATAGAGCTTGGCTTTCTTGAGGAAGCTTTAAGAGTCAGTGATTAAATAATTTTAACAGATATATAATGTGATATATTTTATTGGTACAGATGTAATTCTACATAATTTAAAAAAGCTTTAATATACTTTAAAATGAATCGTCTTCAAGAGGCTTTAGAATTTATTAATTTATCATTAGAAATAGATCCTCATAATGCAAACTTTTATAGTTTTAAAGGTATAAATAAGATTGACAAAGCTGAAATCTATGAAAAAATGCTTCGTTTTGAAGAGTCTCTAGAAAACATTGATTATGCCATTTAAAAAGAACCAGAATTTTCACACAGATTTTATAACAAAGGTCGAATTCTCCTGATAATGAAACGCTACAAAGAAGCTGTTTTCTTCTTTGATCAAGCAATCATGAAAAATCCAGAAAACTCAATTTTTTATTTTATGAAAGGTTGTAAAGAATTTAATTATAGGATCAGCGTTGACAAATTAAGGAAAATTTCAAGAAGCCTTGACGTAATTGGATCATTCAATATCTATTAATCCAAATGACGCAAAAGCTTTTGTAAATAAAGGTAAATTTATTCTGAATATGAATTAAGCTATTCTTTTAAAAAAAATAAATCAATTTTAAGAGGCAAAATATTGTTTAGAGATTGCTATTAAGTTAGAACCTACGAATATGGAACATTATTGCTCCCTGGGTAACCATTTTTTTATTTCTAAGCTAAAATATAAATGGAAATAGATGGTGGAGGTTTACAGTATATAGACTTAGCGATTGAAAAATGCCCAGAAAATGGTCAATATTATTTAACAAAAGGTTAATCATTATTAATTTTTAGCAAAAATTTTATTTAATAACTAAAAATTGATTTAATCATTAGAATTCTGCAATATAGCCATCCAGCATAATCCAGAAAATTCATAATTCTTTTATTTTAAAAGTAAAGCTAAAATATTATTTTATGCTTAATATATCATCGAATGAAACTTTTTGAAAAATCTTTAGAAGAAATTGATTATGCACTGTTAAAAAGTCAAAATTTTGGGGAATATTATAGTTTCAAAGGTATAAAAGATTATAATAAAATAGGAAATTTATTTTTTTAAATGAAGAGATTTGAAGAAGCCTAAAAATTCTATGAGCAAGCTATTTTAAAAGATCCCAATTAATCTGAATATCACTTTAATAGAGGTAGATATTAATATGGTTTTAACAGCATTATTATTGGTTAAGTTTTAATCTTATGAAGAAGCGTTAAATAGCTTGAATTAGGCGATTTATCTAGATCCAAAAAATTCAATATATTATAAAAATAAAGGTGAATTGTTCCTTATTTAATTATTATAGTTTTTGTTCTTTTCAATATGAACCTTTTGTAAGAAGCCTTAGAGGTATGTGAATTAGTTATTTTAACAGATCCTAATAATGCTGAAAATTATTTTTTTAAAGGTGTATTCTTTCTAATTTAAAAGGCAATATATTTAAAAATTTGAAATGTTTTTAAAAAGCTATAGAAGAGTATGACAAAGCTATTTTAAGAGATTCTAATAATCCAAGTTATTACAGTAATAAGGGTATTATTATTTTAAATCATTAGCTGTTGTGCTTGACAATTTATTTTGTTCTTAAGAAGCTATATAATAGATTGATAAAGCTATTTTTTTAAATCCGAATAACTCAAAGTTTTACTCAATAAAAGGTTTTTTGATTCTAATAAAAAGGCAATATATTTTAGAATTTGAAATGGTTTTAAAAAGCCATAGTAGAGTATGACAGAGCTATTCTATTGGATTCAGAATGTTCTCTTAANCATTATTGCTCCCTGGGTAACCATTTTTTTATTTCTAAGCTAAAATATAAATGGAAATAGATGGTGGAGGTTTACAGTATATAGACTTAGCGATTGAAAAATGCCCAGAAAATGGTCAATATTATTTAACAAAAGGTTAATCATTATTAATTTTTAGCAAAAATTTTATTTAATAACTAAAAATTGATTTAATCATTAGAATTCTGCAATATAGCCATCCAGCATAATCCAGAAAATTCATAATTCTTTTATTTTAAAAGTAAAGCTAAAATATTATTTTATGCTTAATATATCATCGAATGAAACTTTTTGAAAAATCTTTAGAAGAAATTGATTATGCACTGTTAAAAAGTCAAAATTTTGGGGAATATTATAGTTTCAAAGGTATAAAAGATTATAATAAAATAGGAAATTTATTTTTTTAAATGAAGAGATTTGAAGAAGCCTAAAAATTCTATGAGCAAGCTATTTTAAAAGATCCCAATTAATCTGAATATCACTTTAATAGAGGTAGATATTAATATGGTTTTAACAGCATTATTATTGGTTAAGTTTTAATCTTATGAAGAAGCGTTAAATAGCTTGAATTAGGCGATTTATCTAGATCCAAAAAATTCAATATATTATAAAAATAAAGGTGAATTGTTCCTTATTTAATTATTATAGTTTTTGTTCTTTTCAATATGAACCTTTTGTAAGAAGCCTTAGAGGTATGTGAATTAGTTATTTTAACAGATCCTAATAATGCTGAAAATTATTTTTTTAAAGGTGTATTCTTTCTAATTTAAAAGGCAATATATTTAAAAATTTGAAATGTTTTTAAAAAGCTATAGAAGAGTATGACAAAGCTATTTTAAGAGATTCTAATAATCCAAGTTATTACAGTAATAAGGGTATTATTATTTTAAATCATTAGCTGTTGTGCTTGACAATTTATTTTGTTCTTAAGAAGCTATATAATAGATTGATAAAGCTATTTTTTTAAATCCGAATAACTCAAAGTTTTACTCAATAAAAGGTTTTTTGATTCTAATAAAAAGGCAATATATTTTAGAATTTGAAATGGTTTTAAAAAGCCATAGTAGAGTATGACAGAGCTATTCTATTGGATTCAGAATGTTCTCTTAATTATACCAATAAAGGTTTTAATTAATTAATTCTAAAGCGGGATGCTTATCTGGTTTAAAGCTTTTAGAAGAATCATTATAAAACTATGATTTCGCAATTAAAAGGGATACAACCTACTCCTTAAATTATTACTTGAAAGGTATCATCATAATTAAATCCTAGCTTAAATTTTAGATAATATGAATCGATTTTAGGAAGCTTTAGAAATTTTAGAGCATGCAATCACAAAAGATACTCAAAATAATCAATATTATCATTTAAAAGGTATTGTTACTTATGTATGAAAAGCTAAAATTTTATTTAAGCTGAATTTTGTTAAAGAATCTTTAAGTGCATTCGATGAAGCTATAAAAAGAAATCAGAATGATCCTTATTAGTATCATAATAAAGGCATATAATATTAATTTATGAATTAGCAACTGTATATTTTTTGTTAAATTCATATGAGGAATCTTTAAAATATGAAGATCTTGCCATATAAAGAGATTTGAATAATAAATTATTTTTAGATAAAAAAGGTAAATAACCTTTTTTATATAAGCTTTAATATTGAAAAAAATAAGTGAATCTAATTTTCAAGTTATTCAACAGTTATCTTAGAAATTCGATTCATTTATTTATGATCCTATTTTTCATTAAAAATAAATTTGAATTCAAATATATTTAAATTAAATGTTGCTTATCTTTATTTAAATAATACTTATCTTTATTCAACTAAGCTTTTATATTAAAAAAGGTTTGTTCCTTAAGATTGCAACCTTTAATGCATTCATCAGAATCATATGCTATATGATTAGGGGTAAACAATTTTTATAATAAATGCTTTATTTATTTAATTAAAAAATTTTGTAAAAAATTGATCTTTTTTGTTAAATTTAATAATCACAAAAACTCAACAATTAAAAGATCAATTCAGAATATATATAAAAATTTCGTCACAATAAATATATTTTTTAATTAGATTGTATGTAAAAAAACAACTGATTTAAATTTTGTTTAATTCTATTAGTTAAACTATGTTACGATCACTGTATGTAATTTATTAAATGATTTGTATCCAAATAAAATGACATCATTATTCTATTTAATTATGATTCAATTGATGCAAGCATATATGATAATACATATGGATTGGAAACATATCGATCAAACATACTTTATATCTTATTACTTTTTGAATCATCATTTTAAATATATTTATCAGCAAAATGTGATTAGTATCTAACTTAAATAGCAAGATCATAACTTTATGATACTTTTTTTGGTGTAAATAAAAATTTATAACAATATTACAAAATTTTCTTATTTACAATTCTTGTGATCAATGATTTTTTAATCATAAATATTTAATTATTATTTTTTTGGTTGAAAGTTAACTTTACCTATTTATTAATTTAGTAATTTAAAGCTTAAGTAGAAAAACTACTTTACTTTTCTAAACCGCGAAATACTAAAAATTTTGAATATAATTTAAAGAGCAAACTTATTAATTTTTGATTTTTAAAGAGAACATAAAAAATTGAAATTAAAATTATAAAAATTTTGATATAAGACAGAAAGAAATAAGGAAAACTCTTAGTAAAGATAGATAGATATAGTTTAGAAATTAAAGATTCTTTAAGAGTTTCCTAGTTTGAGAATTTTATCATTTTTAAATTTAATAATTTATCAAACTGATATCTTCTAAATTAAACTTGGAAAGTCATTATAGTTTCTCTTGAAGACTTAGATAACTTCAGTTAAGATATCACTTTATTGTGTTCTAAAATATAAATTTGATTTTAAACCTAATTTTAGTAGCTTCTACATAACCATTATGATAATCAACGCAAGTTCTCTCCCAATCATCTTTTTATTTTCTCAATAAAGTTGATTTCTTGAAATTTCAATAGATTATTATTACTTCAGTATTAAATCTGATGTCATTATTCAATTCTAATATGGTTTAATTGATTATTAAGACTCTAGCTCTGAATGTAGCAATAGTAGCTTCTAATCTTCTATTTTATATGACAATTCGTTCTTTTTAATTTTGATAATCTTATTCTCTTGCATTGTCTGTTAATAACTCTTGTTTTAATAAATCAAAAACGCTTTCAATTAATTCATCAATGATTTCTTGAATTTTAGCAACACCTTATTAATTAGCTTAGATTCCAGGATCTCTAATAAATGTATATAGATATAATATACTGGGAAGTTTCTAAAAGTAATTCATAAAGTAAGCCAATTCCATTAGATTATTTTTTCAATATTTTTTAATGAGTTTCAAGTTCATTAAACATAAATTAAGAGAATTCAAGGAAAGAATAGGTTCCAGCTAAAGGATCCCATTTTTTGGTACTTAATTTACTAATGATTCTTTTTCCTTCTTAAAGAGCTCCAACCATATTGGTTAATTCATCTCTTCTATTTTCATATTATTACTAATTAATATAATAAGAATAAAATTACTCTAGTAATGTCTCTTTCTTAAGTTAATTCAGCAATACGTTAATTGTTTCTGTTTTCTATTTCTTATTTATCTAATAATTGTCTTTATTTATTTTTTTATTCTTAAAGGAAGAGTGGCAATGTTTATTAATCTTTAGCTAATTAGTATTCTGATGAATCAATAACAAATAATATTTCATCATATTTGTCATCACAAAATTAAGTGTGATCTCTTGATTTTTATCTTTCAAGATCTTATTCTTCATTGATTCTATCTTTCATTTACGTAAGAAGATCAATAATTTTATCAACACTGCTATTTCCTTACAATTAAACTTGAATAGTTTAAATAATAGTTTTTCCAAATTCAGTGCTTTACAGAGATTGTAAGAGTGTCTCTCCTTCGCTCATGCTGCTTGCAAATAGAACAAGTGAGCACAATAATATAACTTTATACATTATTATTAATAATTAAAACGGATTTGTGATGATTATGTATATTATTGTTTTATTTCATAAATCAATGATGATGATGTCCTCCACCTACATCTTGTAATTTTAGAGTGCCTGTTTTACCTACAACAACTTAAACATTGCCAAACTATCTTCCTATAATAGGCATTCCTTCAGCCATTTCTTCATTAATTTCATCTATGATTTCTCTCAATTAACCTCTAAACAAGGATTAGAAAAAGTAAGGGATTGCCAAAAATACTAAAAAGAAGTTTCTAGTCCATCTATAGAATGCTCTATAATCATTGAACTAAAAAAATTATTATTTAAAAATTATACTTTTAAGTATTCATAGTCGACTTCAGCATTTTAATGTAAATAAGCCCATTCTTTAAATGTTCTTTCTTCAGTTGACCAGACTCTAAAATATTCAGCATCTTCAGAAGTAATTCTATGTTCAGTCTCAAATGGATTTTATTTCATATTATGATACAATGGTCTATGATATTAACCAACTTCCATAAGAGCATTTCCTCTAACATATCCTTTATTTGGTCTAGGAACACCTTTTAGTGATGAAATAATATTTTACCTCCTTTGTATCTGCCAAAATCATCCACATTAAAGACTTATCTCTCTTTTTTCAAATACTCTTATTTTTCTTTAGCATAATCTGATGCCACTTATCCTGGTCTCTTGTATGTACCATCATCATTTCTTTAGAAGGATTGTTAATATCTTTCCATCTCAGCACCATACAATAAATCTGGCTATTCTTTATTCAAAAGATCATAAGCATTTCTGCTTTGTATTTGTGATAATACTGCAAAGGCTTCGGCCACATCTTAAAATTCTTATTAAGCTGAAGCATCATTCATTACCACTGATGTAGTGACATTTGGATAGAGTCTAATATATTTACAATAACATGTACTTTTATGCTTTCTTTGTATATGCATCTCTAATTTATTCCTCTGTTGCATTCTTCTAAATTCCCAAAATTGCATAATAATCTTTTCTCCTCCCAAATTATTAGATTTGTTTTAATGGCAACTTGAATAACCCTCGTGATAATATCATTATTATATATATTTATTTATATATATATTTTATTTCTTATTCATCACTGCTACTATTATTATTGTAAATTTGCAATCAAATTGTCCTTCTCATCTAATTAACTTCTTAATCCTTCACATTCAGTGAATTACATTGTTAAAATCATCATACAATCTTACACCCTTTTAATTATTACAAATATCTTACTTTTTATTCAATTCATCTACAGTCTTTAATTATTCTTAATATTTATTAATGTCTTACTTCTATCTCTCTACAATCTCTTAAGACTCTTAAAATTTAGGTGAAATAATTTAGAACTATAATTTAGATCATATTTTTACTTTCTCTTCAAAAGGTGTTAAATAAGCTATTCTTTCTTCTAATTTCAACATTAACTAACGTAAATCTTCCAATTCCTTTTATCTCTAATTTACTATTGCATTTAATCTATCAAGATCAGCAGTGTATTATTTATTTAGATTTTCCAATTGATCTGTTTAAGTCTTTAACACCTCATGTTCTCTCTGAATTTATTCTAATTCAGCAATTCTATATTAAATATAATCACATAATACCTTCTAGTTAAATCCTCTATAGTTTTGCTTGCTTATTACAATTATAAATCTAAAGCTCCAAACTATGCATTCAATTCATCAAATTATTAGGTCTTGTCTCTCAATTATACTGTCAATCTCTCAATATCTTTTAATTACTAATTGAATTTATTTTCAATATCTTTGTATCTAGCCTCATTTTACTTAAACTCTTAAATTTATCTTTCTAATTCTTAAAGATCTTGTCTCATATCATGATTCTCATTTTATAATGCTTCAATATCCTTTATAGCATTATTAAGATCACTCTATAAATTATTAATTTATGTATTAGCTTAAGCTAATTTATCTAAATTTTATTAATGTTCAGCCAATAATTACTCATAATCCTGAGTTTTTTTTCTTTCTTATTCATAATCATGCATTAAATTGCCTAATCTTTCATTCAAAGCTTCTAAAGCATCATCTTTTACTTTCATAGTCATCTCTTACTAATTCAAATTCCATTTATGAGTGTCAATATCAATTTAATTTTATTGAATTATCTTATTTAATTTTTCAATATCATTCTAGAGCTATAAAACTCTCTATTCAGACTATTTATATCTCTCCTCTAAAACTCTATATTAATCTTCTAAAGGTAATAATTATGAATATTTGGCCTTCCAATCATTTAAATCTTATGTTCTTTAGTCAAGTAATTATCTTAACTTATTTAATTCATCTTATGCACTCTACAATTATTTTTCTAAATCCCCAACATAATTTTCAAGTGATTTTAATTTATTGATTTCATTCTCCAATTATAAAATTTATTATTATAATAAATCGTTTTCTTTCAATAATGATGTAATTTGATCATTTTATCTTTGTATTTCTTTAGCTTAATTTTAAATGAGAATTTCTTAATCTTATAATCTCTTTTCATTAGCTGAAGCCTACAATAATTGTAAATCTTATTAAGCAACTCTCCTCTTTAATTCATCAATCAATTTTTGATATTCACTAATTTTATCATCTAATAATTTACACTTCAATTCCAAACCTCTCAATTCACTTATAATATATTCTAGTTCTGTACATTTCTTTTACAAATCCATTAATTATTACAATCTTTATTTATTTTATGCATTCAATCTACTAATATCATCATTCTTTGATTAAAGTGCATTTCTTAAATCATTTAATTACTATTCCATAATCTATTTTTCAGTTAACAACTGATCCAATTACTCTTATAATTATTTAACTGTAAATTCTCTCTCTTCTCTTTCAGAATTAGCTGCATGTAAATCTCCTTATTATTATCCAGCTCTATCATTTAATTCATTTACTCTATTTGTTAATTATTCGTTTTAACTCTTTAGATTCATAATTTCATCTCTGCTACTCATTAAATCATCATTTAATTTATTTATTTAATCTTCTAGATTGCGAATATTATCATTGCATTTTTGAAGTTATTAATTTAAATAATTGATTTCATTTATTCTACCATTTAATTCTCCTGTTAGTTTCTCAATTTCTCTATTCAATTACTTAATCATTTAATTCAATTGATTAATTTAATCTAATAAATTTTTATTATCCTATTCTGCTCTTGCCAACTTTTCTTATAATGATTTGCATTAAGCATCCTTATCTCTTAATTATCCATTTAATTTATCTATATCTCTAATATATTCTTATATTTTTTATGTTAATGTATTTATTTTCTATTCTGATCCACTTTATTAACCACCCAAACTATTGTACTTACTTTCAAGTGATGAATATTTATTCTTCCAATCATTCAAATCTCGATCTCTTAATTACAATAAATCTCCTAACTCTTTAATTTTAGTCTCATATTAAGATTTCATTGATGTAAATTGAGATTACAAAGTATTAAACTTATTTTTCCAATCGTCACATTCAAGTGTTTTATTTTTCAAATCTGTCTTTAATCTATCATTTTCTGCATTCCTTTCATTTAATAATTTAGTTAATCTTTCTAATTCAGATTATAATGTATTAAATTTATTTTCATAATCTCTAATTCTAACTTCATAATCTCTAATTTATTTTTGCAATCCATCTAAATTTCTACCTGAATTATTCTTCAAATCATCTAATTCCCTTTATCTTTAAGTTAATAAATCTTATAATCTCTTCATTTCTGAATCCCATGATGATTTATCTGTTGAATATTTACTTTTCCATTAATTAATATCTTTTTCATAATCTGAAATTTTGCGTTCAGCATCTTTTAATCTTTAAGCAAGTGAATTATCAACCTAACCTAATCTTGATTTATAATCTGCTATTTCTGTTTCTAATTATCTGATTCTTATTAAATGTTTATCAATCTCTGATTTGTATTGTGTTATATCTTTATTTGCTTAATCCAATTTTGCTTGTAATTCTCTCACTCTAGCATCTCCACCTTCACTCTAACTTTCTAATTCCTTTATTCTCTTTATTAATGCATCGTTTTCTCTCATTATTCTATCATTCTCCAATGCCAAAAGAAAACATACTACTTCTGGGTATTTTCCTAACCATTTTCTCTCCCCTGATGGTGGTGTCATTTGAACACTTCATATAAATAACTATTTACGCTGTAGCTGGAGGTGCTTTAATTGTACTTGATCTTCTCCCTTCTGATCTCTCAAATGTACTTGTAGTGGTTGTTTATGGTACTGATAAATTTGATGATGTTGTTGTTGTTGTAACTGATTATCTATAGCTAGATTATGTTGTAGCTGCTTAATTCTAACCTATCCCACTTGATCCAAGTGCAGATGGTCTATATCTACTTGTGTACTAAGACATTTATTTTATTAAATAAAAAATTTAATTCAATCATCCAAGATTTTTACTATATTAAATACATATATACATATATATAATAAATATTTATTGTTTCCTCCAAATTATACAATTTATTTCAACGATCAAATTTCATATTAACCACTTTCTCTAAACTTCCTTTTCTAACTTCCAACTCTCAATTTATTACAATCTTAATATTTTATATCACTATTCCTAAATCAATACATAATATATATCATTTCAAAAAGATATTTTTTACTGATATCATTAATTTGACAGCACTCAAGTATTATTTTTATAATTTTTTCAAGCAATTTCAAAGACTCTCGAGATTAAATCTTCCTTCTCACTTTTAATTTATATTTATATATATCATTATCATATATATTTTATGCAGCTGATTAAACTCATACAAATTTGTTTTTTAATATACTTTATTTCAGAATTATTTTAAAATAATCCACTCTAATGTCTCAAAAATATTTTTCCAATCTTAAATGTTAAATATATAGAATGTATATGGTATGTTATGAAAAAAAAATATACAGAAAATACAATAATATTTCAAATAGAAGGAAATAAAAATTATTTAAAACTTAAAAAATAAGTAGTCATTAAAAATGGTATAATAGTATATTTATTTCATTCAATTTAACTTTTAATCAAACATTATTTTAACTGATGAAAGATATGGGTGAAATTTTGATAATAATTTCCAAAATTCTTAGAGGCCAAACAAATTTAATTTAATTGTTTGTGGTGGGGGTTTTTAAATGATTGACTTTTTATTCATAAGTTTATCATTCTAGGAATAATTTATTGATGGTAAAATTAGGATAGGATTTGTATAATAAAATAGTACAAGGAAAAATTATAAAAATTCTTGTCAG